ACCTAATGTAAATGTTCAGCTCATATGCCTGTCTTTTGTTTGGCTGGAAGCCACAGGAGTGGGTTCAATTCCAGACCTGAAGGGCAGCTAGGCACCATAGTCTTAGGGGTTCCACCAGGCTCTATCAGACCAGAAAACCTGGTCCAAAAGAGGGTAAATTTTATTAGTGGTCAGTGTCTATAACTTTTATTTCGAAGTATCATATTTTTACACAAATTATGCACTCACTGTACTTGAACTGTTTTACTTAACTCCACCATATTCACGTTATGTGTGGGTATGTTATTTGTGCAAAAATACAGTATTCTTCCAGAGTTTTTGGCATCTTTCTAGAAACACTTTAAATCCTAGGATGAGGTAAATACTCCTGACCAAGAGACAGACCCAGATGCTGTATGACATACTTCAAATAGCAGTGACTATTAATATTTAATAAAAATGTAAAAAATAATACAGAGTACCAAAAACCAAACTCACTGCCATCGAGTTGATTCCGACTCATAGCAACCCCCATTGGGTTTCCAAGGCTGTATATCTCTACAGAAGTAGATAGCCCCATCTTCCTTCTGTGGAGCGGCTGGTGGGTTTGAACTGCTGACCTTCTGGTTAGCAGCCAAATATCTTACCCACTACACCACCAGAGCGCCTTACAGAGTACAATACAGGTGATATTTACCATTAGTCCACAAATAATAATATACAAGGCATGAAGCATCTTTAGTGTAGTTTGAAATCTCTGTGTAACTCAGCAAAAATTCTCAGAATTCCATGGAGATAGTAAGGATTCAGTAAGATATAGCAAATGTATAACAATAGCCAATATTTATTAATCTGTTTAATTAATTTATTACTTTGCTATTCTTCAGGCATAATGCTAAGTTCTCTATGTGTGTTACCTTGTTTAATTCTCAAAACAACCCAAATAAGTTGGTAATGTGATTATTCCAATTTTACAGATGAGGAAGCAAGTCTGAGATGAAGACCTTGCATAAAATGGGTAGTGAGTGGATCCAGGATTTGATACTAGGCTCAGTATCACTGGGCTACATTGTCTCAAGAGTGCAAACACTATTTGTCTCAGAAAGCTATCATTTTACCTATAGTGCAAAAGGCAGTTACAGAAAAGGAGACAATGTGGAGAAAGAAGACCAGGTAGAAGGTAATGTATCAATGCTGTCCGTGTAATAATCTGGCAAGATTTATTTCTTACTTCTAATTACCTTGTATGCCAAAGACTAGTGACCCTAAATAAGAACTCCAAAAATAAAAAAACAAAATTGTTGCCAACAAGTCAATTCCAATTCACAGCAATGCACATTGGGTTTTCAAAGCTGTAAATCTTTATGCAAGCAGACTGCCTCATCTTTCTTTCTTCCACAGAGCAACACGTGGGTTTGAACCACTGACCTTCTGGTTAACAGCCAAATAAATGCCTTAGCCACTATACCACCAGAATTCCTTTAAACAAGAACAGCAGCCTATTAAAAGTTTGATTGGTAAGTAAACTGTACATAGCTAGACTAAGTTCATGTAACTTACCCCTTGACCATTAAGACTTTTATATACTATAATGAATTGCGTTTGAAATAAACCCAGGTGGCTGAACACGTATAGTGCTTCAGAGATGCTTCTGGGGATGAACCCCAAAGGAGAGAAGCAGAAGGGAAAAGCTGCAGTGCCAGGATCAGGCTCATGAAAAGGAAACTTGATCTTCTCGGTGGCAGCAGAAAGTATTCCCACCTCCACTGTCTCAAAACCAGGTATCTGGGGCCCATTTAATGAGAAAAACTTAAAAATTGTAACTTTCCTAATAATAGGCCTAGTATAGCGCAGCAATATAGACTCGTGTAAGATTTTTTAAAAACTGCACAGGCTCTATGAAGTGTAATCTTTTCACATAAAATCTTTGTAATTTTAGTACCCACTTTAGCATATGGATAATCAAGCAGCAAATTATATGTAGGGACCAATTTTTGGTGATTTTGATTATTTACATTACCATATTAGATTTAAAATACAGAATATATAAACAATACCTATTAATACAAATTTTATTAGAACAATCCAATGAGGATCATTATAGTCTTCCCTTTTCTGTAAGTTTTAAAAAACTTTCACATAAAAAGTGTATAAACAAAACAAATAATTCTAAGTTTTAGTACAGTCAGAACTAAATAAGTTACTGTGGATAAACCTTACTCTTAATAAAAATATTAAAAATCACTGAAGTGTATTGTTAAAATTAGATGATTTTTAGTCCAATTTGTTTTATAAAACTAATCTGTGTAAAAATAAAATTTAATGAGCATAGTGCTTAGGAACAAGTAAGGGAGACGACTTGTCTGTCAGTTGTCGTCCTGTGGTGGGTTTTGTGTTGCTGTGAGGCTGGAGGTTATGCCACTGGTGTTGCAAAATGCCAGCAGGCTTACCCATGGTGAACAGGTTTCAGCAGAGCTTCCAGACTAAGGCAGACTTGGAAGAGGCCATCCACTTCTCAAAAAATTGGGCAGTGAAAACCTTATGAATAGCAGAAAAGCACTGTCTACTATATTACTGGAAAACACTGTCCAACACAGTGTCAGATGATGAGCTCATCAGGTCAGAAGGCACTCAAAATATGACTGCAGAAGAGCTGACTCCTCAAAGTAGAGACGACCTTAATAATATTGATGTTTGAGTAAAGGTTTCGGGACCTCCATTAGCTGATGTGGCATAACTCAAAATTAGTACAAACAGCTGCAAACATCCACTATTAAGTAGAACATGGAATGTATGAAATATGAATCTAAGAAAATTGGAAGTTGTCAAAAATGAAGTGGAATGCATAAAGATCAATATCCTAGGCATTAGTGAGCTGAAATGGACTGGTTTTGGCCATTCTAAATTAGACAACCATTTGATCTTCTATGCTTGGAATGACAAGTTAAAGAGGAATGGAGTGGCATTCATCATCACAAAGACTGTTTCAAGATCTGTCCTGAAGTACAATACTGTCAGTGATAGGATAATATCAACATGCCTACAAAGATGATTAGTTAACAGTATTATTACTCAAATCTATGCACCAACCACCAAAGCCAAAGATGAGAAAATTGAAGATTTCTACTAACTTCTGCAGTCTAAAATTGATCAAACATAAAATCAAGATGTGTTGATTATCACTGGTGACTGAAATGCAGAAGTTGGAAACAAAGAAGAATCCCTGGTAGATGGAAAATAAGGCCTACAGGACAGAAATAAAGCTGGAGATAGCAAGACAGAATTTTGTAAGACCAACAACTTATTCATAGCAAATACCTTTTATCCACAACATAAACAACAGCCATATATGTGGACTTTGCTGGATGGAATACACAGGATTCAGAATGACTATATCTGTGGCAAGAGCTGATAAAGAGGTTCAATAACTTCAGCCAAAACAAAGCCAGGAGCTGAATGTGGAACAGATCATCAACTGCCCATCTGCAAGTTCAAGTTGAAGGTGAAGACAATTAAAACAAGTCCACAAGAGCCAAAATATGACCTTGATAATATCTTTCCATAATTTAGAGACTATCTAAAGAATAGATTTGATGTATTGAACACCAATGACAGAAAACCAAAGGAATTGCAGGGTGATATCAACATCATCCATTATGAAAGCAAGAGGTGATTAAAAAGACAAGAAAGGAAGAAAACACCAAAATGGATGTCAGAAGAGACTCTGAAATTTGCCCTTGAGTGGAGAATAGCTAAAGCAAATGGAAGAAATGACAAGATAAAAGAGCTGTACAGAAGAAGAGCAGCTCGAGAAGACAAAGCAAATTATTATATGAAATGTGCAAAGACCTGGAGTTAGAAAAGCAAAAGAGAAGAATACGCTCAGTATTTCTCAAGCTGAAAGAACTGAAGAAAATATTTAAGCCTCAAGTTGCAATATTGAAAGATTCTGTGGGCAAAATATTAAATGATGCAGGAAACATCAAAAGAAGATGGAAAGAATACACAGAGTCATTGTACTAAAAAGAACTGGTCAATGTTCATCCATTTCAGGAGGTGGCATATGATGAAGAACCAATGGTATTGAAGGAAGAAGTTGAAACTGCACTGAAGGAACTGGCAAAGAACAAGGCTCCAGGAATTGATGGTATACCTACTGACATGTTTCAACAAATGGATGCTGTGCTGGAGGTGCTTACTCGGCTATGCCAAGAGATGTGGAAGACAGCTACCTGGCCAAATGACTGGAAGAGATCCATATTTGTATCCATTCCAAAGAAAGGTGATCCCACAGAATGTGGAAATTATCAAAAAATATCATTAATATCACACACAAGTAAAATCTTACTGAAAATCATTCAAAAACAGTTGCAGCAGTATATTGACAGAGAGCTTCCAGAAATGCAAGCTGAATTCAGAAGAGGACGTGGAACAAGAGATTATCATTGTTGATATCAGATGGATCTTAGATGAAAGCTAAGAATACCAGAAAGATGTTTACTTATGTTTTATTGACTATTCAAAAGCATTTGATTGTGTGGATCATAACAAGTTATGGATAACATTGAGAAGAATGGGAATTCCAGAACACTTGATTGTACTCATGAGGAACCTGTACACAGATCAGGAGGCTGTTGT